TGCCTCTGCCTCCCGAGTGCTGGGATTAAAGGCTTGCGCCACCACCGCCCGGCTGATATCCAAACTCTTCACTGGCAATTTAGTGTTAGTATTTTACAAGAAGGCCACATTTGTATAGTTTAGCGTAAGCCCTATTCTTTCTGAGGTGCAGCTGCCATAGGTTACTATTTTTCTGAATATTGGTTATTTTTTTCCCTTGGTGTATTAAAACTATCTGGGTTGGGAATGTAGTCCAAGCTTGCCTAGTATAGACAAGACCATAGGTTTGATTCCAAGCATAATAAATAAGCTAATTAAAGTCCAAATTATTAGATGTCAGCGACCTTAAAACATCTGATGGAGCCAGCAAGACGGCTCAGCAAGTTCAAGACACTTGCCACCTAGCCTGATGACCTCAATTCAATCTCCAGATCCCTCAGTGTAGGAGAGAAATGACCTGTAATTTGTCCTCTGATCCCAAGTGCAGCGGCATGCGTGTCATAGCATAAACACATCTTTTTCTCCGTCTGTCCCATAATCCTTTACTACATCATGGTTTATGTCCTCTAAAAGACTGTTGTGAGAAAGCCAAGCATGGTGGTTCAGACCTGAAATCCCACTCTTGGGAGCTGGAGACAAGTGAATCAACAATCCCGTGCCACCTAGCGACGTGGTAAGCTTGAGGCGAGAAAGACTAAACAAGACCCTTTCTCAAAAAGGACAGGGAAGGACGATAGCCCCATATTCTCAAAGAATAAACCCTGCACTATATGGGACTTTGAGCAGATAGTTTGTGTTTTGAGGCAAAGTCTCACTCTATAGCCCAGACTGGCCTCAAACTTGCAATGATCCTCCTGCCTCCACCTCTGGAATGATGGGATTATAAGCATGCACCACCAAACTTGAACTAGATGGCATGTTTCCTCACGGTGCACCCATCCTCTCATGTTGGGATATGGGATATATCAGAAGATGCAGACAGTGGCTGGTAAGACCCAAGTTTGCTTAAGGGCAAGGATTGAGTGCATACAGCCAATATTAATGCCATGAAATGGGTTAGGCCCCCGTTAGCAGGCCTCCAAGCTTACTGACCCGACACTGGAGATTTCTTAAGTCGTAGTGTCTAAAAGCAGTGGTTCTCAACCTTCCTACCGCTGCAACCTTTTAACAAAATGTTGCTCATGTTGTATCCCACAGCCATAAAAATTATTTTGTAAATTTGCTACTGTTAAGAATTTTAACAGTGGCCGGGCAGTGGTGGCGCACGCCTTTAATCCCAGCACTTGGGAGGCAGAGGCAGGTGGATCTCTGTGAGTTCGAGACCAGCCTGCTCTACAAGAGCTAGTTCCAGGACAGGCTCCAAAACCACAGAGAAACCCTGTCTCGAAAAACCAAAAAAATAAAAAATAAAAAAATAAAGAATTTTAATATAAATATTTGTGTTTTATGATGGCCTTAGGTAATCTGTGAAAAAGGGTTAACACTCAGGTCTCAACCCACAGGTTGGGAACCACTGGTCTAAGAGCCTCTTAGACCTCTTGCTTCTCTACAGCTGAGTCCCAGGTTTATGGACCATTTATAGTTTAACAAAATGGAGGGGTATAGAGTATATTCACTGTACACTGGAACTGGGGGTAGGGCAAGGGATGCTACTGCAGACATGGGGATGCACAGTCAAAATGTGATATTCAATGTACAATGTAGACAAGGCAGAAAAGAAAGCCATGAGAAGTAATAAAGTACAAGCTTGTTTAAATCTACATTCTACCTTGTTTTCTTTTTATCGTAACTTTAAGAATGTTGCCAAATGTGGTGATGCATGTCTTTAATCCCAGCACTCAGGAGGCAGAGAGAGGCGGGAAGATCTCTGAATTTGAGGCCTGCCTGGTACACACAGTGAGTTCCAGGGAGCTAAGGATACATAGTGAGACGCTGTCTCAAGCAAAATGAACTGAATTAGTTGGGAATGTAGTCCAGTGCTTGCCTAACATAGACAAGGCTCTGGGTTTGATTCTAAGCACAACAAACAAGCCAATTAATATCCAAGTTATTAGGTGCCAGTGACCTCTAAACTTCTGTTGGAGCCAGTAAGATGGCTCATCAACTTAAAAGCACTTGCCACCGAGCTGAAACAATCACATTACTTTAGTAGACTAATGGTTAAGTAACGATGGACTATCTATTCCACAAAAATACTAAAAGAATGAAGTATTGGTACCCACACAACCTGGATAGTCGTCAAATCATGATGCAAGTTAAAAAAAAAATCACCAAAATACTCAAAGGGTTGCAAATTATATACTTTTGTAACAACTGCTCCCAGCCCCTAGACTATACCTTTGACTGTTCCAGAACACACTATATAGACCAAGTTGGTCTTGGAACTCAGAAATCCTTTTTGCATCTGCCTCCTGAATGCTGGGTTTAAGGTATGCACCACTATGCCAAACTATTATTCTTGAAAACGACAATCTTGTAGAAAAGAGAGATTAGTGATTCCCCACAGTTAAGGTTATGGGGCTGGGTGGTGGTAGTCCACGCCTTTAACCCCAGCACTTGGGGGTCAGAGGCAGGTGAATCTCATTCGAGGCCAGCCTGGCCTACAAAATGAGTTCCAGGACAGCCAGGGGTACTCAGAGAAACCCTGTCTTGAGGAAGGGTATGGGGGAGGGAAGAAAAATATCAGTAAAAAAGTATGTGATGCTAAATTGTGGTGATAAAACTCTCCTATAAAAGTCTTGACTATAACAGAATCAGTATCTTGGCTCTGATTCTAGTTGCTAATACCAATTACTGTACCGTATGTACTATAGTTTTATGAGATGCTACCATGGATGAAATGGTAAATTATACACAGAATCTTGTATTATATCTGATACTGCATATATATCAACAATTGTCTTAAATGGCTTCATTTTGAAGATTAAACTGTTCTCAGGGTTGAGTTTGCCAGGAAAGAGGAGAGAAAGACTTTCTGAAAAAAAAAAGACAAACCAAAATTGGGTCAGCAAAACTTGAATGCAAGACGTGCTAGCCTAGGAATGAGTGGCCAGGGCCAATTCTAAAGAGATACTGTTTAAGAACTAGGTACAGTGGCTCACCCCTGCAATCCCAAAAAGGTCACCACGAGTTTGAGACCAACCTGGTTTACTTAAACTAACAGGGCTCCATGGTGAGACCCTGTCTGAACAAAGAGGCATTGAGGTAACTTCAACCTTTTGTATGCAGAATTAACACACTGCCAAATTAAATAATTTGTTTTCTTAAAGATAAAACAAATTGTTTTCAAATTTAAGAATACATAAACAGAGGCCAGGTGTTGTGACAAACACCTCTGGTTCCAGCACTCAGGAGGCAGGAGCAGGCATTTCTCTGTCAAATCAAAATCAGCCAGGGCTATGTATTGAGACCGTCTTAAAAAGGGGGGGAAAAATCCAAACAGAGCTGGCAAGACGGCAGCTATCTTATATATATATAGACACTTGCTAGAACTCACATGGTAGAAAGACAGAAAAGCTGTCCTCTCGGACCTCCAGGTGCAGTGTGGTATTAAGAAAAACATACCTAAACAAGGCCTAGAGATATAGCTCAGAAGTCAGTCTGTTTACCTAAAATGCAGAAAGGTCTGAGTTCAATCCCCAGCAACCATAATCTATATATGGTGTACATTCCTGTAATTGCAGCAGACAGTAAAGGCGAGGAGAGGGTATTTAAGGTTATCTTTGTTCACATAGGAGTTCAAGACCAGCCTGTGATACATGACCCTGTGACTGAGAACAAAGGAGCCGGTGAGATGGTTCAGCGCTGAGAATGCTTGACTTCAATCCCTGGGACATCCCTCAAGGATAGGGAGGATTAACTCTCCCAAGCTGTCCTATGACCTCCACACACATGCCCCCCACTACACATAAATGTTTAAAGAAACCAGACAAAAACTAAATACCCAAACAAAATTAATTTGAAATGCGATGTGCTATTGGATGGCCACTTCTGATAAAGAAAACCCCCGAAAAGTGGTTACTAAATGCCAGAGGCTGAGGGTGACAAGGAAAGGTTGTGTTTTACCAAATATCTGGAAAAAGATTTTGAGTGTTTTATCAAAAAGATGTTTCAAGCCAGGTGTGGTGGTATATGCTTTTAATACCAGTGCTTGGGAGAGGAGGCAGAAGCAAAGTTAAAGCAGTCCTGGTTTTGAGACAGACCTTGTGGCAAAAGAAAAAAAAAAAAAAAAAAGGATGTTTCAGATAATAACCTTTTTTCCCACTCAAGAAAAAATGTTCTTGAAAAACCAAAAAAAAGGAAAAAAAACATTATTTGATGCCTATGGATTAGCTATATGTTGGAAGGAAAACAGATACTACTGTTGTCTGCAAGCATTACAAGATGCTAACCTGTACCCCTTTCTCTCTCTAGGTGGCCCCTTGTGTTTTAAAAAAAATTAAATTTTTTATTATATTCGTGTGTATAGGTGTTTTCCCTGAATAGGCTAGAAGAGGGCATGTGATATCCTAGGGCTGGAGTTACCACGTGGATACTGGGAACTGAACCTGGGTCCTCTAGGAGAGCAGCCAGTGTCCACTTCTTAACCACTGATCCAACCCTTCATCTCCAGGTCTCTCCTGTGCTCACAGTGGTCCTGGACTTTCTGGATTCAGCTGATGGGCAATGTTCATATCCTAAATTTATGATGTAAAAATATATAAAACCATCACATTCCACCCTATAAAAACAAGAAAAAAATCCCCTCCTGTAGTTCATTATCAATACTGAGTTGAGCTGTAACATAAATCAAAAAGTATATGGCCAGAATTAACACTGAGTATATAAATTATAATAAAGTTGATATTATTTTGGACATAGATCTATAAAGAAATGTATATGTACAAAAACAAATGTGTATGGAATATAGTAAAGAGTAAAATATAAATATGCAAAATATTTTAAACACTACTGTGACTGTGGTCTTTCAAGAGTTGTAAATTTTAAAGTAAACAAAGAAACAGAAGCATAACACCTTAAAATTTTTAGATATACTATTTTTATTCCAAAGAATAAATGCTGAACAAACTCTCCAAATCACAAAATTTGAAAGAAGCCTTTGATCTTCTGCATGGGCTGAGGTAGGCGTCTGCACAGCCGTGGGGCTCGGGAGCAGTCTGCTGTCCTCTAGAACACTGAGGATGGAGGTGCTGAGCCCCCATTCTAGTGAGTTGTTAACGGAAGTTTCCCTTCTCATTCCCCAGAGAGCTGCTCAAATTGTTTGTTCCTGGGCTTGCACCATCTCTTTTGTGACAGTTACCATGTTTTGTTTAAAAAATCAAATTGTTGCTTTACATGACCTCTGAGTACAGAAGTATTCCTGTGATGTTTAAAACACTGATTAATTGTACTTGCTTAAATACTTTCTCAAATTGATTTTGCATTTCTCACTAATGATCAGTAAAGATGTAAGATTCTGAGGTATCGGTATGTTCCCTTTTGGTTTAGTAAGACTTCAGTCACACAGTGGTTCTGTACAGTACAAACTTCTGTACAATACGCCTCTTCCCAGTATTCACAGGAGCTCCAGATGTTACAGAACTGACGTCTGGAGCAGAACACCAGCACACAAAATAAAATCGCTTCAGGAAATCACAGTCTGTAGTCCGCACTGAATTTTGAAAGGTGGAAATGTTCTTCCAGTCTGGTGACAAGCTCCTACTACCAACAGCAATCCACATCAGTGATGAGTAGCCATGTCTTCATGGTGCATACCACTCTGACTTGATTTGGAAGTATGCACTCAAGATTGATGAAGCCTTTTATGAATCACCCTTCTAGAGCTTTCTGCTCAGGAGCACCAGAACTGTTCCAGTGAAGGAATAATGTATTCTGAAAACCTGACTCCCAGAGAATTCCAGTTTCTCTCCTGCTGCTTCTCAGACTAGCTTTCATGTCTACCTAAATATCACTAGTTCCATTATTTGTTGGGAAATACAACAAAAATTTTTCATCCACAGGATGAAGTTTCATCTCTGAAACAGGAAGCTAACGATACCCTACCTTGCTTATGAAATTTCCTAAGAATAAGAGGAAAAATTATGAGAAATTGCACTGATCATGTTATATCTAAGTGCTGTTTTTTGGTATTCTGTTTTTAATCGCGGATAACAGCTCTGTTAAGTCTAAACTAGGAAAAAAATGACATTTCATTCAGAATCTCATTGTTTGGCAGCTAATCTGATTAATTTGGGAATGTGACAGAGGTTAGCTTTATGTCCTGTCCCTAAATACACAAACTGATGCTAAGACAACAATGGTAATTACAGATGACAAAGCCTCCGGGCATCACCTCACATGCCCCTGTCCAGCTGCTCACCTGTAAGCAGTGCCACGCTTATGGTACTTGTTCTTCTCAGAGAACCACGGCCTTACATTCTGTGCCACGGCCATGAAGAAACAAGCAAACCTCACTGTACAACATCTCATACACATTTCCTCATTCTGCACAAGACATGATGCATCTGAGCCAAATATTGCTACCTACAAGATAGTATATGCATTTACGGGGCAACAAACAACTAACTAATCAAATGTCTTCATTTTGCTGCAAGAGTTCACTCATACTTTGCAAAATATATACACTGTTCATAGTACCTTCCCGAAGCCCCGACTAACATCAATAGAAGTGAAGATCCTGTTTCCGCAAAAATGTGTCAAAATACTATGTGTTGCAATATTACTTATGTTCCTAAAACAAAATAATTTCTCTTTACAAGCTGCTTTTATGTTTTCTTTCTAATTGCATTTTGACCTTGCGTGTGTGCGCGCGCACACATGGGCCACAGTGCATATGTGAAGGTCAGAAGACAACTTGAGGACTCTGTTCTCTTTCCACTATTTGAGACCCAGGGTTCAAACTTAAGTTGTCAGGCTTGACAGCAAGCATCTTTACCTACTACTCTGTTTTTGGTTTGAGCAAGACCTCACTCTGAAGCTCAAGCTGACCTGGAACTCATTATATGGCCTAGGCAGACCTTGAACTTGTGGCAATCTTCTACCTCAGCTTCCTGAATGCAGAAATTACAGATATAAAGCCACCACAACTGGCTACAAGTTACTTTAGTATTTGTTTCAGTAAAAAAATCAAACTCTTGGTTAAATGTCATAACTTAATGTCAAAAGTGCCTCCAGGAGATGTATGTTTTCACTTTGTTAATTCTCTTATTGATTAAAGTGTTCCATAGACTGAAAATACAGTCAAATAATGAAGTTCAAGTTTCTTTCATTTTCAGTTGATCACAAATTGGACAAAAATGAAAAAGCAGAACTTCTCCAAGTTCACAAAGCTTAGCTAACACTAAGACACCGGCTTTTCCCTAGTAGCATACAATATTTGACTTCAACAAAAATATTTAGATAAGTTTCAAAGTTCTCTATTATTGTATGGGTATCCACTGAGGATGATGATTTGTACATTTAGCAATACTGAACTATGTATCTAATAAGCTAAGTAATTTGCAGAAAGGAAAAATAACAAAGTATCCCTTTCCAATTGGTTTCATACTTTACAGACACAGACTTGAGATACAACTGTAGATCACCGTAAATCTGATCTTATCATTACAACCCGCAGGATGTAAAAATTCCAGTTGTATATCGTTAGGCATTTGTCAAATGATAACCAAATGTTTTAAGCTTGTAAAATAGTATTTGGATGATTGATACTGCCATGGATCTTTTTGTTTGATTTTTTATGTAAGTGCAGATATTCTAGTAAACTAATTTTTTCATCTAGTCAGTCTTTGGGTTATCACTTCTCGATACATAATAGAGATGTAGATAAGCAACAAAAAGATAACAAAGAAGTCATCTAGAAAGCCCAGAATTCCAAACAAGGCTTCAGGTACAAAATCTAGAGGTGATATTAGATAGAAAAAAGCCCCCATTAAACAAAGCATTATCCTAATTCGGAACATCCAGAAGAGACCCCCAACTGAAAACACTTCCCTGAAGGCATGTCTCAGCAAGGTGGGGAGATCCATGATTCTTTCCATAATCTGAAGGAGGAAAAACAAGCACTACAATTTAACACATATTATATCAAATTAAAAAGTAATATAATTTTTGTACAATGTATAAATTCAGCTAAGATGAATTAAGGTGTTTAACACACATAATACTAGGTTTTCCAATTATGGATTTTATTTAAAAATAGTTTAGTTAGTAGACGCTTATAAAACAAATTTTATTATAGATAACTAAAAAGTAATAAAATACCCAAATGCTTAAAATGTGGGATACAGATATACATTATCTGAATGTCTAATACTTCAAATGCTACAAAATTTTGAAGTGTTCTGAAAAATAAAAATCTCTAAAGTCTAAAACTCTGGGGCCAAAATGTTTTGGATTTCAGAACATGTCAAATTTATGATTTTAAGATCTTAAGATTTGGGGGGCACTATTTGTAAAAATCTATGCAAATACTTTGAAATGAGAAAACAGGTCTCAAGCATTTCAGTTAAGTGGTTCTAAATCTAAAGTCATGCAAAATTCAAGTATCAATAATCTGATTTAACAAAATGAGTCAAGAAACCATAGGCCAGGAATGGTAACTCACATCCATAATTCCCAGCATCAGGAGGTTGGAAGGTAGGAGGATCAACAATAGCTCAAGGCCAGTCTAGGCTACAGAATGAGACCCTGTCTCAAAAAAAGTTATAATATAGGCTTCTAGTCTGAGATTTGTTCCCAGGTGCCAGATATACTATCAAGATATATCTGGATTGGATTAAAAGTAATCAATTATCATAAGAGGTGACCTTGGGTTACAACTTTCTAACACACTAGAAATAATTTAACAAAAATTGAGTATTTAATTACTCAGGAGAATTACTAACAACTAAAAAGTTGTTGTACAGAAAATGCCTTCATAATAATAAATAAATAATAAAGCACCAGACTATGTACAGTTCTGTAACTGGAGACTGAACCCAGGGCCTTGGTGGCAGTGTCTCACTCGAGCTGTGCCCTATATCTCTTACTTTTTATTCAGAGAGCAACTCATCAAGTTACTAAGGTTCATCTTGAATTTGTGATCCTCCTGCCTCAGCTTCCCAAATACCTGGGATTACATGTCTGTTCCATCTGCCCTAGGTAAGTATTATACATTAAAACACACTCAGGGGACTAAAGAGATGGTTCAGAGGTTAAGGCACTGTTCTGTTCTTCCAGAAGTTCTAGGTTCGATTCCCAGCAACCACACGGTGGCTTATATCCATCTATGGCGGGATCTGATGCCATCTTCTGGCATAAAGGAATACATGCAGATAGGGCACTCATACATAAAATAAATCTAAAAAAAGAAAATCCACACAAAGGTGTGTGTACACACATATGCAGGGCAGAGGGCTACCACATTCTATAGATATCTCTAGAGAATATGTGTAAAATAAATAAAATAACCTGGGGTCGGAGCGATGGCTCAGATGTTAGGAACACTTACTATCATTGTGGAGGACCTAGGTTCAGTTTCCAGCACCCACACTGGTGGCTCACAATCACCATTCTAATTCCAGAGATGCTCATGTCCTCTTTATGTTGTCATGGATACCTACATGCATGTGGTGCACATACACACATGCAAGAACACACACACACATATATATATACATACATACATAAATAAAACTTTTTTAATGCTAGGTCAAAAACTAGGTATGAACACAGTGGAACATGCCTTTAAGCCCAGTACTTGGGAGGCAGAAGCAAGTAGACCTATGTGATTTCAAGGCCAGACTAGTTATATATCAAGTTCCAGACAAGCCAGGGCTACATAGTGAGACTCGGTCTCAAAAATAAAAAACTGTGAAGGCTGTAACTTATTGACTAGCAATGATGGTTAAAACTTGGCCCAAAACACTTGGTAACACTTTATATAGTCCAGGGTCTGACTATAAATCTGATTTTATAAATAAAAAAATATAAAGGTTCTTTCTGACTTTGCACCTGCTATAACAGTACTTACAGATCTAGGCTGCCCTGAGAATCTCCGGTTATAATCATTAACATCTTGATGCAATCTTACAACATCCTGAGACTGATCATCTTCACCAAAGACTGAGAGCAGCAGAGTTACCTGTGTATTACAGGAAGAACCTGTTACACCTTCTGCACCATTATTATTACTTTCTCACTGTGTTGTTCAAAAGACTGATAAAAGCTTCTGAATGTGTATTTCATTCATTCCTTAGAGTAAATAATTACACTGCCGTACTGTAAAATGTCATACAAAATGTCAATTTTAATTCCTCCAAGATAAAATGGGTTCCACATCTAAACACTTACTCTAATATTTTCTTGCCTGTATCAGAGGCTAAAACTCAGTTCTCTGGGAAAACATACTTGGAGATAAAAGGATGATAAGAAAACCTTCAGTAACAGTGTTAAAAATATTTTCAAAAACATTAAAAATATAAACCTTACGTTAGCCGGGTGTTGGTGACGCATGCCTTTAATCCCAGCACTCAGGAGGCAGAGGCAGGCAGATCTCTGTGAGTTTGTGGCGAGCCTGGTCTACAAGAGCTAGTTCGAGGACAGGCTCCAAAAGTTACAGAGAAACCCTGTATTGAAAAACAACAATAACAAAAAACAAAAACAAAAAAACCCTTATGTTATCAAAGAAAAGATTGAGCATTTCTGAATGATTCATTTCTACTCAGATTCAACATCTTTGAGTGATATATATAATACAGAAATTACAGTACTGTGTGGCCTGATGCTCTGAAACACCAATTCCTTTTGTAAAAAGCAGGTATAAGTCTTGGTACTGTTGTTACCAAAGATTGGTTTTGCTACTTTCATGGCCATGATAAAGACAGCACACAGTTGCCTCAGGACAATACAGAGACCTTGAAAAATTATAGCTAATAATATAACAGTATGTAAAGAATAATCACTGATAAATAGAAAATAAAATGGAAGGGACTCAAAACAGTTTTAGTGGGCCAGAAAAACAGCTCATTGAGGAAGAGCTCATTGCTATTCCAGAGGTCCTCAGTTCAACTCCCAGCAACTACATGGTGGCTCATGACCATCTGTAGTGGGGTCCAAGGCCCTCTTCTCACAGATGTACATGCAGACAGAGCGCTCATATGCATAGTCTATATCTATAAATCTTTAAAAAAGAACAGGTTTAATTTTGAAGCATTCTAGATTTTTTTTAATCCTTTCTTGGCTTAAGAAAACCACTGATCAGTGTCTCTCTTTCCTGCTACATTTGAATGTGGATGTAGACCTCTCAGCTCCTTCTCCAGCACCATGTCTGCCTGCGTGCTACCATGCTTCTGGCCATGATGATAATGGACTAAATCTTCCAAACTGTAAGCAATCCCAGTTAAATGCTTTCCTTTAGAAGAGTTGCCATGGTCGTGGTGTCTCTTCACAGCAATAGAACACATGTTAAGACATGGTGGAACTTATTTTTAGTTCAAGATATACTAACTGGCCTCCCTGTTTCTGGCAAAAGGTAAGAGCTTTCTGGCAGTTTGCTTATGGCAATTCGATTGGCTATGTCACACATATTTTTCCAAAAGAGAACAGCACGCAGGGGATAACATGCTGCCACATGATTAACTAGTTCATTTATTCCTTTGCTGGTCTTAAAATATTTATTTATTTATTGTTATGTATACAATATTCTGTCTGTGTGTATGTCTGTAGGCCAGAAGAGGGCACCAGACCTCATTACAGATGGTTGTGAGCCACCATGTGGTTGCCGGGAATTGAACTCAGGACCTTTGGAAGAGCAGGCAATGCTCTTAACCTCTGAGCCATCTCTCCAGCCCCTCCTTTGCTGTTCTTAAAACAAAGGCTTAGGAAGTGGGATAAACTTATTTATTACTTGCTTCTCACTACAACTGTGGAATTTCAAATACAATTCCCTTAGGATACCTGAATGATTTTTTTTTAAATGTACTTTTAAAAAACTTAGTGAAGCCATAAAAATTGAGTTTGGCTTAAAAAGTAGCTCAATTTAAATTTTAACACTGTTAACCCTGGCAGGGGAGATGGCCCAATGGCTAAGAAAACTTAGCTCCTGCAGATGACTGGGTTCAGTTCTCAGCACCAATATGGTAGCTCACAGTCACTATAACTTCAGTTCGAGAGGATCCAGGTTCGAGAGGCCTTCTTCAGACCTCTGTGGGTTCTTGCACACACAGGCTGTATATACATACACTCAGGCACATACACATAAAATAAAACATTTTAAAACAAAAAACTGCTAATATTTATGAAATGAAATAACACTACCGTTTGTCTACAGATTGGACAACTGATCGCACCAAGCCAGGACCCATATCGCCAGTATGCAATTATGCAGGAACCTAGTGAAACAAAAAATATCAACAATGAAGCTTTAAAGTCTATATATACTGGTCAAGTTTCAACTATTTAATAGCATTACCTTTCTTTAAACACTGTTTTATTACATTGTTTATTGAATATTCCTTGGAAAAAATTTATTTCATTCAACCAAACCCTCAGGTAAATTAAAATCTAGCAATCATTTTCAACCATTAAAAAACATTTTTATTTCAGCTACTAATTAACAGACATTTTATACAATAAAAAACAATTATTAACCACCTCAGTTACTGAGGCCTCATAGGAAATAGTTTCCTATGTAAAATAAATATGGTGTTAAATATGATAAACTGTTAAATACTTTTTGTTCCAAATTTGGTATATTTGAAAACTACTTTTTTTTTAGTTCACTGAGCCAGCAGGCTGTGTTGACACATAGCTATAGTCCCCAGTACTGGGAAACACAGAGCTGGGCCACCCAGTGAAACCCTGCTTCAACAATAACAATAGTTTAGAAAGTCAAATGAGGTGTGGTGGTTATAATCCCTTCACTTAGAAGATTTAGGTGAGAGGTCAGGAGTTTAAGATCAACTTCAACTACACAGCAAGTTCAAGACCAGCCTTTCCTCCCTGCCATTCCAAAAACTGAAAACCAAATCACTGCAATACGAGGCCTCCTTTATAAAATGTCTATACTAGTTTAATATTTGAAGAATGTACTCTCCTAGATGATATTCATGAGAAAGGGGAAGCTGGCTCAGTCAGTAAAGTCTCTGCTGTACAAATATGAGGACCTAAGTTAGTTCCCACAAACCTGGTGTAGGAGGTCCTTCTGACTTTGTGTTGCTTTCATTGGTTAATAAAGAAACTGCTTTGGGCCTGTTGATAGGACAGAACTTAGGTAGGCAAGAAAAACAGAACTGAATGCTGGGAGAAAGAAGGGCGGAGTCGGAGATACGCTGTGGATCCGCCAGAGACAGATGCTGGGAATTTTACCCAGTAAGTCACTGCCACATGGCAATACACAGATTAATAGAGATGGGTTAAATTAATTTAAGAGTTAGCCAATAAGAAGTCAGAGTTAATGGGCCAATGGGCCAAGCAGTGTTTTAATGAATACAATGTCTGTGTGGTTATTTTGGGGCTAAGCTAACTGGGCGGCTGGGACAAACAAGCAGCCCCTCCTTGCAACACAAACCAATGGAAAATAGTTGGACACTGTGGCACACACATGGGATCCCAGTACTGAGGATGCAAAGACAGGCCAATCTCTGGGGCTCACTGGCAACCAGCCCAGCCTACCTAGCAAGCTCCATGACAGTAAGAAGCCCACCTCCCAATTCAGAAAAGAGAAAAGGTCAGGCCTGGGTTGTTGGCTGAATATGTAAAGTCAGAATAAGTATAAGAACGTTTATCATGGTACTCGTGTTCATTTTTTGCTATTGTTTAAATCCAGGTTCTGCAATTTGTGCCTGTGATGCCAAAGCAGAAAAGGTGGCAATATGAACATTCCTGGGCCTTGCTGGCCAGCCAGTCTAGCCAAATGAGCTCCAGGTTGAGTGAGTCTCTATATCAGAAATATGGTAGAGAGTGACTGAGGAAGTCACCACCACATGCATGCACACCCATCCCACCCCCCAACACACACACAAATGAGAAAGAAGAAAGAAGGTATTCTGAGGACCAACACCTGAGGTTGATATGGGCCTCCACAAGTACCCCCCCATACACACATGTATGCCACATAAACACACACTCACAACGAAGATATTCATGGACAACCAAACAACCAAAGATGACAACCCTGCCTGAAAGAAGACCTCAAAAGTGGGTAGGGGCACTCGGCAGATAAACACTTAGCTTCAATCAATTAACATAAAGGAACATTTTTACTGCCTGGTGATTTTAAAGGCCAAACAGAGAGCCTCATGTACACCAGGCAAGTACTCTACTAAGTAGCTACATTACCAGCACCCATGTTCCTTACTCTGACCTCTCTGAGCCAGAATTTGGAAGAAGCAATAGCAAACCAATTGTGGAAAACAAAGTGACGTACTCAAATCAGCTAGAAGATAGCCAAGTCTTGAATTGTGCAATGTTAAACGAAAAGGAGTAGAGATATACAGACGGCAGCCTAAGTACAGAACTTGAACCAAACTTCGTAGGACAGCTAAGGGTCAGACAGGTAGAAAACAGGAGACAAGACACTTGTATTCTTTATGAACAAGAGTTCAAGCAGAAAGGAATGGTTTGTGAGGATACCAGTGAGCAACCACTTGGATTAGCAGAAGCTGGCCAAGTTAGGGAACAGTCAATTCACCAACTTCAAGATGAGTTTAAAAGCAAAACTATTATTACTGTGTTAATTTCAAAGTTTATTAAGTACTTTGGGTATTCTAATTTCACACAAAATCTGTATGAAAGCAAAACTTGGGGCTGTAGAAATAGCTCAGCTGCTGAAGTGCTTGTCCCAGAGTCCATGTGAAACAAACAGAAGCCAGGAGGTTAGGGAGCTGCATTAGCACCGAGTTTGGCTCTGCAGCATTGATGTAAAAGCCAGGTACTGTGGCATGCATTTGTAACCGCAGCATGAGGGGTAAATCATTGGGGATTGCTGGCCAGCTAGTCTAACCTAACCACTGAGCGCCAGGTTGGGGGAGGGGATGTGACAAACTAAGATAAACCAGATGTAGTGACATACACCTTTAATCTTAGCACTAGGGTGGTTGAAACAGGTGGATCTCTATGAATTTGAGGCCAGCCTGGTCTGCAGTGAGTTCTAGAAGCGTGAGAGTTACATTAATAGAGAAACCCTGTTTCAAACAAACAAACAAACAAGAAAACAAAAAGCCACCACCACCACCAACAACAACAAAACACACTGGCAACAATACCAGCACCAATCTCTAACCTCAACATATACATATGTGAAAATGGGTATGCATACACACATGCACACATACATGCATGCCCACACAAATACATGAGCCTGTACACATACAAATATATACACAGGTGCACACACACAAAGAAAACAGAAATTAATTTGTTAGTGACATTTTCGCCTGATACCATGTCTTAGCTTTATGACCTTTTCACCCAAAAATTCAACCTACTTTGACAGACATCACACTCATTTAACCTCGAGTATCTTTTCCTCAAACTAGGGTGTGGGTGTCCTTATTATGCCAGTTATGTAACACCATTTGGTTTCACCGAAAAACTATGACTCAGCAGATTAAATGCTTCAATTCATCTGCTATTAGACACTTGACTTTTTTTATTCAATTTTCTCACTCCATAGAAAAGATACTTAAGTATCATCTGGTACAAGAGATGACTGAACTTTCATCTGGGTCACAATCTCTCTGAATCTATTTAATTGCAAAATGAGAACAAAATTTCACAGGCCTGACAGTTAAATAATGCAGACCTTAGATGCAAATAAGATGGATGGTTCTAGTGCAGTGAGTACTCTAATTTACCGTGGTGGAGCAGAGGGGCTATGCCACATAAAAGAACTATTGTCCAGAGAATTTATTTGAGAAATTGCATAACAAGTTCTTTACTTTTGAATTTACTAAATAAATAAATGTATGTAGCATGGCTCAGTTGGTGGAGTGGTAGCTTAGCATACACAGGCCTTGGGTTATCAATCCCCCTCAGCACTTAAAAGAGGCATGGTAGTACATGCCTAAATCTCAGCACCTGGGAGGTAATGTGGATCAGAAGTTCAAGGTCATCCTGGGCTACATAGCACATTTGAAACCAATCTAGGATACACGAGACCTATCTTAAAAGAAAAACGTAGCTAACAAGTAGAGCAGGATATCAGAAGCAATCTATCCTATTACCTCAGACTCAGAGGTAACAGCAAGAACACAATACAGCCATCTTTCAACCCACAGGATTATCCAGCCAGTGAATCAGCTATGCCTGAGTTGGCAAACAAGTTCATTTTGTCTGCCAAGCCTCACAGACTGCTAACACCTGCCAGGAGGATGATCAAGACCCTGTCTAGATTCAGGAGGCAGGTCAGATGGATCAGGAGTACCTATCACAGGTCTGAGAGCAGCAAGATGTCTGTCTCTCCTGATGGGCATTAGCTGCCCTCCCCCACTTGATCCTTATTATCCTACTATTCTTCAGCATTCCCGAAAGACAATTAAAAGACTGAAATGAGGCGGGCAGATGCATCAGTGAGCAAAGCACTTGCTATTCAAGCCTGAGGACCTGAGTTCAGATCCCTAGAACCCATGTGAGCTGGATGCAATGGCACAGTCTGTAACCTCGGTGCTCTAGAGATGGGATGTGAAGACAGGAGGCCGTCAAGTGTGGCATATGCAGAAGTGAACAGGAGACCCCCTCTCAAGGTGGAAGCAAGGACTCACTTGGATTTGTCCTTTAATGTCTCTATACAACCATGGCACCTGGACTAAGGCATACAAACACAGAGAGTCGTGAACCAAAACAAAAGCTGAAAGACCATCAGTAGAGCTCAGAGAAGGGCTGGACAGAGTTCCTGAGAGAAGAACTATCCTCCCTTGGCCAAGGTGAATAATAAATTCCATAGATAATCCAGTGTTCTATCATATGTTAGAGAACTGGGAAAAATACCTTAGTGAGGTTGGGCATGGTGGTACATGCCTGTATCCCAAAGTTTTGGAGGTGAGGTAGGAGAATTGCCAGTTAGTTCAGTGTCTGGCTGTTGTACAAAGCAATATATTGTCTCCAAAAAAAAAAAAAAATCCAAACTAAAACCATAGCTGAGTCTGGTGGGATATGCTTTCAGTCTCAGCATTTGGAAGGCAGAAAATACTCCCTCGTTACGCTGGTATGGGTTTTAGGTGTCTCATTCTCTGTCTCCAACTCCTTAAGGTCACAAAGAAAGAGTAAAGACAGATAGTAGAGGTTTGTGGCTTAGTTCTAGAGAGAACACTCTTGCTATAGGAAATCTGGAATAACAAATAAATTGACAAAAGTTGAAGAAGGACTCAGTGGACCCATAGTGTTACTAGTAAACTTGAACTCTTCCTCCAAGAAACACATTGCTAATGATTTAGAAGGTTAATGAGCTTTGGTTTTCTTTCTAAACCTTAGAACCCACAAATGCTACTACACTAAATAGAAAATAAATTGTTTAATACCTGTCCATCTGTATATGTATATACTATTACACAGGCAAAGGTATATGTATACATATACATTTTTTTTCAGACTGTCTCTCATGTAAACCAAGGTTGTCTTAAACTTTCTTTCTAGCTGAGGATGACTTTGAACTTCTGATCCTCCTGCCTCCACTGAGTACTAGGATTTAGGCATACACCACCAAGCCTGATTATAGCCCTGGAGATCAAGTGCATGAAGGCAGGAATTCTACCAACTGATCTACATCCTCAGACATTACTATATTTACCATACAAATAATATACTCCTGTTTGGGTAGCAACTAGAACAGGACATCAGAAGCAACCTAGTTTTCTCAAGAAATAGAAGATGTGATAAAAATAAAATTATCAATCCAACCTATATACACACATAGGTCCTGAGCTAGTCATTTTAACCAAGTATGATATTGTTTGCTTACCACAAAAAAGATGTCCACAGTTGGTTTCAACAGGAAGGGAGGCCTGATGTAAGCAGATTGGACAGTACATTTCAGTGTAGAACTGCTGTCGAGGAGGCGCAGGGACATCCTGGTGAGAGGACACAGACATACCTCTCAGAACAGAAATTACACATACACAATGGCTTAAGGTCTTACAAGACTGAGAAGCTTACAAAGTTATACAGTTTTATTTAAACTACTTGGCCTTTACCTTCCTTCCTAAACACAATTTGAAACCAAAATATAGATTAACTCAAGGTTTGTCTTTTACTTTATTATAGTGCATATGTTATTTTGAGTTCCACAAGCTAATACATAAATTAGAGAATAAGAAACACCAGGCTTTATAGCAGAATTATCATCAAGAGACCAGAGAGACTTCATCCAGCAATTGATGGGAGTAGATGGAGAGTCCCACAGCCAAATATTAGATGGAGCTTGGGGAGTCCTGCAGAGGAGGGGGAGGGAAGATAAAAGGAACATGGCCCACAGAATCAACTGACTAGGACTCACGGGGATTCACAGAGATGAGGGAACCCGTAGGGTTCTGATGTAGGTCCTCTGCATAAACGTTACGGCTGAGAATCTTGGTGTTCCTGTGGGATGCCACAGTGAGAGCAGCTGCTGTCTCTGTTATGCCATGTTTGGTTGATATCCCTGAGAGGCCTGCTCTTCTCTGAGGGGAGGTGGAGGAAGGGTGGGGATAGATCTGGGGGAGAGACTGGAGGGAGAGGACGGAGGGGAAATTGTGGTCGAGATGTAATATATGAGAGAAGAATAAAAGAGAAAAATAAATTTAAAAAAGAAAAAGAAAAAAGAAAGAAACACCAGGCTTCAGTGTAACTCCGTGGGAGAGCATCCGCTTAGCGTGTAAGAAGCCCTGGGTTTGATCCTTAATACCATCAAAAGAGAAAAAGTAATATCAAACTATTATTCTTAGCATTCATTTAAAAACTTTTTAACATTTTCAATTTTTTTTGGGGGGGGGGTTGAGACAGGCTCTTGCTATGTAGTCCTGGCAGACCTGGAATTTATAGCAGTTCTGCCCGTTTCTCAAATGCTAGAATTGCAGATTTGTGTCTGGCTTCATTTCTTACAGCCTTTTATTTAACAGCTGTCCTCCGAAGAGTGTTGCATATCTGCTCTGCCTTCCACAAGAACAGAACTAAACTTCAGCGAAGATTTGCTAATGCTAGAAGTAGAAAAATTGGACACTATTGAACTTTGAACGTTGGTCCTCACAAAGTCATGCGAATAAATGTTAATATGCTTTTCAGTGGACATGCTGGAATCCCAACAGCAAGGTTGTGGAGGCAGGAAGATAAGAAGTCCAACTTACCCTTGGCTACCTAATAAGTTCCAGGCTTGGGCTACATGAGACCTTGTCTCAGAACCCCAAACCAATCGAATGCATACATCTATGCATATTCCTTGGCCATATCACTGTTATGATTCAAGAGCCATGCTGATTGAAATTACAGTACAAGACACACACATCAAATATCATTCTGAAATATAAGTGCCATGAGGCCAAAACTCCACTTGTAGAATTCACTGTAGTACCTAAGGACCTGGACAACTATCTAGCACTAACATAAAATGTACAGCTTCATCGGGGACTGAAAAGCTGGCTCAACAGTTTGTATGTTCAGTTCCCAGAACTCACATGATGGCTCACAACCATCTGTAATCAAGTTCCAGGGAGTCTAACATCCTCTTCTGAATTCCATGGCCCTGGGTACACACATGGTATACACACACACACACACATATGAGGCAAAACATTCGTATACATATAATAAATAGGTATTAAATTTTTTAAAAAATAATCTTCACAAAAATCAAATTTAGTAAATACAAACAGAACTGTAAATTTAATTAAAGAACTTTGATGCAATGTCAAGAAATTAGAATTAGAATTATATTATTTCTCTTTTTAAAGATTTTATTTATTATATATACAATATTCTGTCTACGTGTACACCTTCAAGCCAGAAGAGGACATCAGATATCATTATAGATGGTTTTGAGCCACCACATGGTTGCTGGGAATTGAACTCAGGACCTCTGGAAAAGCAGTCAGTGTGGGCCATCTCTCCAGTCCCGAATTTTATATTTCTTAAGACAGCATCAAATTAACCCAAGGTAGTAAAGTCACAGCAGTCTTAATATTACAAAAAGAAAATAGTTAAATACTAAAATAAAAGAATTCCACCTTCATTTTTTTTTTTTTAAAGAATGTCCTACCCCTTTCTAAATGGAGGGGAGGCAAAGTGGAGATTACAGGGAGGAGTCGAGGGAGGGGAAACTGCAATCGGGATATAAAATAAATTAAAAAATTTAATTAATAAAATATTTTATCATAAAAAACAAGAATATAACAACAAAAGTCTAATTGGTAGCTCACATCTGTAATCCCAGCATTAGGGAGGCAGAGGCAAGTATGTCTATGAGTTTGCAGCCAGCTTGGTCTATATAACAAGTTCTGGGCCAGCCAGGAATACATGATTCTGTCTCAAAAAAAAAAAAAAAAAAAAGCAAACAAAAAGAAAGCAAAACAAAACAAAGCAAGAAAGCAAACAAGCAAGAAAGAAAGTTTCTACTGCATTTCGGCCAAGGCCAATATTATTCCTATAAAAGTAACAAATACAAAAATTACTATTCTCTTTTTAGAGCAAGTTAATAAAAACCATGTATGTATCTGTATAATTAAGACTAGTCAATTTGCTGCTGAGTTTGGTGGCTCTTGCCAGTAGTGCAAGCACTTAGGAGGTTCTGGTGGTTTGAATGAGAATGGTTCCCATAGGCTCATATAAAATTCAAAAGCTAGGTCTCTAGGTGGCGAACTATTCTGGGAAGGATTAGGAGGTTTGGTGTAAATGGAGACTGCTCGTTCATTTCCCAACTGTTCAGACCCAAATAATCACACAGAAACTACTTGGTCAATAACTTAGGGATAATCCTAGCTACCTAAATTAACCCATTTCTATTATTCTGTGTATCGCCATAAGACTGTGTCATTCTAAGTAAGGTTCCAGTGTCTGTCTCCTTCAGCAGCTACATGGCATCTGTCTGACTCTGCCAACTCTTTCTCTCTACCTCTGTTTTGATTTCCCGCCTGGCTTTACTCTGCTAAGCCACTGGCCCAAACAATTTTATTCATCAACCAATAAAAGCAACACATATGCAGGACATCCCACATCAGTTTGGCCTTGTCAGATGAGGTATGTCACTGAGGGTGGGCTTTGAGGTTTCAAAAGCCTACCCAGGCTTCTCTTATTCTGCCTCCAATTTATAGATAAGATGTAAGCTCTCAGCTACTGCTTCACAGATAAGCCTGTCTGCCACCGTGCTCCCCACCATGATGATAATGAAGTAATTAACCCTCTGAAACAGTAAGCAAATCCCCAATTAAATGCTTTTTTTTTTTTTTGTAAGCTGCCTTACTCTCTACACAGCAGAAGAAAAAAACAGAGACAGAGGTGGAGACAGGAAAATTAGGAGTTTAAGATCATCCTCAGCTACCCAGCAAGTTCCAGACCAGACAGGAACACATGAGACTGCCTTAATGTCCCTCCAACCCCCACAAATAAAGAAAATGTTAGCTGGGAAGTGGTAGTGCTCGCCTTTAACCCCCAGCACTCGGAAGGCAGAGGCAGGCAGGTTTCTGTGAGTGTGGAACCCTGCCTGGTCTACAGAGTGAGTTCCAGGACAGCCAAAGCTACACAGAGAAACCCTGTCTCGAAAAACAAAACCAAAACAAAGTGCTTAATCTGAAAAACAATATCATGTAATATAAGGAGTAAAGTTGATGTTTCTCAAAAGTTATTTTCTAACATCCCATCACCACTGCATGTAAACGGAAGTTAAAACATCCCCTCACACAAATATACATACTACATAACCATACCTGCTCTGTTTGAAGTTGTTCTCGAAGCACCCTGACTAGTTCTTGGTTTTCTGGATGAATGTTCTGCTGTACATTTCTGTTGGAGAGAATGGAGTGAATTTTGAAAAGACTATCAGATTAACCCATCTGTATTATTAGACTAACTTTTGACCACAAGCTTATGAGCTGGCTCAGTTGGATAGAGGCACTTGCTGTGTGGGCCTAATGGCCTGAGTTGGATCTCCAGAACCCATGTCGAGGGGAAAGCAGAGAACTAGCTCTACACAGTTGTCCTCAGCCCCATTAATAATAACTAACAATTCAGAACTCATTTATTTCGTGTGCATCTACGACTTTGTGTCTGGGTATGTGTGCTGTGGTACACATGGGCAGGCCAGAGTATAACTTAAAGGAATTGCTTCTCTTTTACTGTGTGTGTTCTGGGACTGAACTCAAGTCACCAGGCATGGCAAATGTATTTGCCCATTGATCCTAGTCCAATAAATAATTTTTTTTTAACTTTAGAAAAAAAACTACATGGGGGTTGGAAAGATGGTTCAGTGGTTAAGAGCATTGGTTTCTGTTCCAGAGGTCCTGAGTTCAGTTCCCAGCAATCACATGGTGGCTCACAAATATCTATAATGGATCTGATGCCCTCTTCTAGCATGCAGATTGAGCACTCATTTACATAAAATACACAAGTAATTTTTCTTAAAAATCTTTTTTTTAAAAAAAAAAGAACTACCGGTAACTTAATATAACAAGTAACTGACGTTAGACAACTGCACTCCAATTCCAGGACTGTGCATTTTAGTACTTCCTCACAAATCTAAGATCATCGCTGATATCAGGTCTGAATAGTAAATGATAAAATCCAGATGCCCAGTATCTTGGGAATTTGTTACAACCTAATAATTAATGTATAGAACAATTAACACATTTCTTTTGTGAAGTTTCTTTAAAATAAGCAGTTAGATAGCTTTATATAATATACATCTAAATACATTTCCATCTCCTAATTTTTCATGTTTAAGGAGAAGGGAAGACCGCAGAAATTAAAATTATATAATGCAAAATGCCAAAACTAACTGTGCCGGTTGTTTTTTTGTTAACTTGACATAAACCTAGATATACCTGGGAAGAGAGAACCTTAATTAACTGAGAAAATAAATGATTGATGTTCAACTCACTGAAGGTTGAGTCACCCCTGGGCACGTGGTCCCCGGGGTGGTAAAGAAAGCCAGTAAGCAGTGCTCCTCCATGGTCTCTGCTTCAGTTCCTGCCATTCCTACCCTGATTTCTCTCAGTAATGGATGTGACCTGAGAGCTCCAAAAAGAGACCCTTTCTTCCCCTACCTGCTTTTGGTCATGGCCTTTATCACAGCAACTTGGTAATGATCTTTATCACTGCAAACTAAGGAACGAGCATACCACTAACATGGTAACAAGTACAATGGAAAATCAGAAGCAAGAAGTCAGCAGCTAATGTAATAGAATGGGATTAGGCCAGGTGAGCACTGGCATCAGTGATGAGTTTCTTGTTTGTTTGTTTGTTTTTGTCTTGTTTTGGTTCACTTTTTTTGACTAACTATTTTGCATGAATTATCTGTGCCACCAACTAGCTGGTGGATTCAACTATAAAATTTTTTAAACTAGAATACTCTCATAGGAAATACTGATTTTTTTTTAAATTTATTTATTAAGGATTTCTGCCTCCTCCCCGCCACCACCTCCCATTTCCCTCCCCCTCCCCCGATCAAGTCCCCCTCCCTCATCTGCTCGAAGAGCAATCAGGGTTCCCTGACCTGTGGGAAGCCCAAGGACCGCCCACCTCTATCCAGGTCTAGTAAGGTGAGCATCCAAACTGCCTAGGCTCCCCCAAAGCCAGTACGTGCAGTAGGATCAAAAACCCACTGCGATTGTTCTTGAGTTCTCAGTATTCCTCATTGTCCGCTATGTTCAGCTAGTCCGGATTTATCCCATGCTTTTTCAGACCCAGGCCAGCTGGCCTTGGTGAGTTCCCGATAGAACATCCCCATTGTCTCAGTGTGTGGGTGCACCCCTCGGGGTCCTGAGTTCCTTGCTTGTGCTCCCTCTCCTTCTGCTCCTGATTTGGACCTTGAGATTTATGTCCGGTGCTCCAATGTGGGTCTCTGTCTTTGTCTCCTTTCATCGCCTGATGAAGGTTAATATTCAGGAAGATGCCTATGTGTTTGTCTTTGGATTCACCTTCTTATTTAGCTTCTCTAGGAACATGAATTATAAGCTCAATATCCTTTATTTATGGCTAGAAACCAAATATGAGTGAGTACATCCCATGTTCCTCTTTTTGGGTCTGGCTTACCTCACTCAGGATAGTGTTTTCTATTTCCATCCATTTGTATGCAAAATTCAAGAAGTCCTTGTTTTTTACTGCTGAGTAATACTCTAATATGTATATATTTCATACTTTCTTCATCCGCAACTGACAAAGGTCTGATCTCCAAAATATATAAAGAACTCAAGAAACTAGACCGTAAAAGGCTAATCAACCCAATTATAAAATGGGGCACTGAGCTGAACAGAGAATTCTTAACAGAAGAACTTCAAATGGCCAAAAGACACTTAAGGTCATGCTCAACTTCCTTAGCGATCAGGGAAATGCAAATCAATATAACTTTAAGATACCATCTTACACCTGTCAGAATGGCTAAAATAAAAAACACCAATGATAGCCTTTGCTGGAGAGGTTGTGGAGAAAGGGGTACACTCACCCATTGCTGGTGGGAATGCAAACTTGTGCAACCACTCTGGAAAGCAGTGTGGCGGTTTCTCAGGAAATTCGGGATCAACCTACCCCTGGATCCAGCAATATCACTCTTGGGAATATACCCAAGAGAGGCCCTATCATACAACAAAAGTATATGCTCAACTATGTTCATAGCAGCATTGTTTGTAATAGCCAGAACCTGGAAACAACCAAGATGCCCTTCAACGGAAGAATGGATGAAGAAAGTATGGAATAAATACTGATTTTTTTAATCAAAATGGAAACTATGAATTTAAATAACCCAGGCAAATCAGTAAAAAGTAAAGTAGCATTCAAAGCTTAATAGCAAACAAAATGCTTTAGTCCCAATACGGAGTCACCAAGATCAGCAATTCTAGGCAGACTCCAAGAGTCACTGACCTCTAGAAAGACACAGGACCTCAGGTCCTGCACCCTTTAATCTCACCTGAAAAGAGCATAGAGGAGCGTAGCGACCAAAGCAAAGCTGACCACCACGGCCACAAGCACTTGGTCGCTCACTCCCTCTATAACCGAGTCATCCTGTCGCAGACTTGGGACTTCACTGTAGTGTTTGGCCATTACAGGTCTAAGATAGGAAGACAGAAGTGAAAATGAAATACATCAATAAAAGCAATATTAGTATGGCTTACTTCTAACATATCTAATACTTACAGCATGCTCTTTAACATAGGTACCATTAAGTACAACTCCAGTTAAGGTTCCCCTACTAATGAATTTTTTTTTTTCAATTTTCCAGAGTCATTATTTGGGGAAGAAAATGCTATTTTCTTTAAGGAAACTACTTTTTAAAACTATACATATATATATATATATATATATATATACTAAATATATATATTTTATATATATATATATAAAAGTTTTTAAAAATACTTTTCCTGGAGGGCTAGAGAGGTAGCTCAGTTGGTAGAATACTTGCCTATCACAAAGTTCTGAGTTTGATCTCCAGGTCTTTATAAAATGGAGTGTAGGATTGCATGAAGGCCAAGGCAGGAGGATCACTTCGGGTTCAAGGCCAGTTTGCATTACATGATGAATTCCAAGCCAGCCTGGGCTACAAGGTAAACCCCAGTCTCAAAGGCAGAAAAAAAAAAAATTGAAGCCGGGCAATGGTGGCGCACGCCTTTAATCCCAGCACTCGGGAGGCAGAGGTAGGCGGATCTCTGTGAGTTCGAGACCAGCCTGGTCTACAGAGCTAGTTCCAGGACAGGCTCCAAAGCCACAGAGAAACCCTGTCTCGGAAAAAAAAAAAAAAATTGAAACAAAACCAAAAAGTAAAATAAAACATTTTCTCAGTTTAGGCTTAGTTCCTTTAAGGAAAAGATATTCTCCTACCCTAGTTGCTTTTTTCTAACTCCTGAATATCAAATAAAGTCTCTAAGTAGATGTCATCCCTCAGTCGTAGCACCTGAATAGGAAACACAGACCTCCACAGCTTATTACCCAGCACATGCTCTACTCGCAGAGCTTAGTAAAGGGACTTTCCAAGCGTACACGCACTAAAGAGGACAGAAAACTCCTCCCAAAATTCTAGAGAAAAACGATAGCACCCAACACTACAAGTATGATAGGAGACAACCCAACTACACTGTAGGTCAATTGCAGGTAACTCTCCCCAACACCCCAGTGAACAGAACTGTAATGCTCAAAGTCTTATGTGATAACTAAAGGGAAATGATGGGCATATTCACTAAATAAAGTTCTGCACTTTATTTACTGTGTACAATATTGCACTGAAAAGTTTATCCAAGACTGAGGATGGACTGCCTAGCACCCATAAACCCGGCTTCAATTCCTACCACAAAATAAACTTGCCCTCACCCGGGGAGCAGCGCATTTGAAATACTCTAAGGACAGGTCAGCTCGCCAGTTAAGACCTTGTCTTTAGTAGGTCTTCTCATTTTTAAGTTAGAAATGCTACGGCTGTGATTAAAGTCCGGAAGACAGGGCTGGGAATGCAGGCTGGCAGAGTGCTTGCTGCGTACGCATAAAGCTCTGGGCTCCATTACTAGCACCTTGTAAACATACTGGGGAGGGACAGACAAGAGGTTCAGGAGTTCAAGGCTATCCTTCGCTATGCAGGAAGCTGGAGGCCAGCTTGAGCTGCATGAGAACTGTCTCAAGATGTATTTGTGGGTCAGGTGTGGTGGCACATGCCTTTAATCCCTGTACTCGGGAGGTAGAGGCAGGTCAATCTCTTTGGTTTGGGGGCCAGCTGGGTCTATAATAGCGAGTGCCAGGACAGCCATGGTTATGTAGAGAAACCCTGTTTAAGAAAGAACAATCAGAGAGAGCAGTGCTTGGCAAGCCAAGCACGTCAGCTGAGGCATCACAGCTATCACCATTATTCATATTTCTCCCATGCTATAACTTCAGCAGTGCATCTGAGAAAACTGGATAACTGAAGCTATTGGGGGAACGCACAAACAGCACCATCTGTCAGGTACCACCCACCCAGCACAGACTAGTAAATGCCTTATTCCTGGAAGAAGAGAGGGAGACATACTATTAGTGTAGTGGAATAAAGTTAAAATGTAAGGGCCCAAGGGCATATTAAAATCATACAAGTAAAACCAGGAACAAGGACTTATCCAACATGGCAGACCATGGAAAGTGTAACTCTCTCACCTGGATCCAATAAAAGTAACAGACTCCTTAGTTAAGGTTTCTATTGCCAAGACAAAAAAAAAAAAATGTCCGAAAAGCAATTTGGGCAGTTAAGGGTTTATTTGACTTACACTTCAACATTGTTGTTCACCACTGAAGGAAGTCAGGAACTCAAAGAGGGCAGAATCCCGGAGGGAAGAGCTGATGCAGAGGCTATGGAAGGAAAGCTGCTTTCTCCATGGCCTGCTCAGTCCACCTTTCTACAGCACACAGGACCACAGACCAGGCATAACACCACCCATGATGGGCTGGGTCCTCCCACATTGAACACCAATAGAGAAAATGCCTCACAGCCGGATCTCATAGAGACGTTTCCTCAATTGAGGCTTCTTTTCCTGATGATTCTACTTTGTGCAAAGTTGATACACGAAATCAATCAGTACAACACTGACTGGGATGTACAGTACAACACTGACTGGGATGTACAGTACAACACTGACTGACTGGGATGTACAATACAACACTGACTGACTGGGATATGCAGTACAACACTGACTGACTGGGATGTACAGTACAACACTTACTGGGATGTACAGTACAACACTGACTGGGATGTACAGTACAACACTGACTGACTGGGATGTACAATACAACACTGACTGACTGGGATATGCAGTACAACACTGACTGACTGGGATGTACAGTAAAACACTTACTGGGATGTACAGTACAACACTGACTGGGATGTACAGTACAGCACTGACTGACTGGGATGTACAGTACAACACTGACTGGGATGTACCGTACAGCACTGACTGACTGGGATGTACAGTACAACACAGACTGGGATGTACAGTACAACACTGACTGACTGGGATGTACAGTACAACACTGACTGACTGGGATGTACAGTATAACACTGACTGACTGGGATGTACAGTACAACACTGACTGACTGGGATGTACAGTACAACACTGACTGGGATGTACAGTACAACACTGACTGGGATGTACAGTACAGCACTGACTGACTGGGATGTACAGTACAACACTTACTGGGATGTACAGTACAACACTGACTGGGATGTACAGTACAACACTGACTGACTGGGATGTGCAGTACAACACTGACTGACTGGGATGTACAGTACAACACTGACTGACTGGGATGTACAGTACAACACTGACTGGGATGTACAGTACAACACTTACTGGGATGTACAGTACAACACTGACTGGGATGTACAGTACAACACTGACTGACTGGGATGTACAGTACAACACTGACTGGGATGTGCAGTACAACACTGACTGACTAGGATGTACAGTACAGCACTGACTGACTGGGATGTATAGTACAACACTGACTGACTGGGATGTACAGTACAACACTGACTGGGATGTGCAGTACAACACTGACTGGGATGTACAGTACAACACTAACTGACTGGGATGTACAGTACAACACTGACTGGGATGTGCAGTACAACACTGACTGACTGGGATGTGCAGTACAACACTGACTGACTGGGATGTACAGTACAACACTGACTGGGATGTACAGTACAGCACTGACTGACTGGGATGTACAGTACAACACTGACTGACTGGGATGTACAGTACAACACTGACTGGGATGTACAGTATGACACTGACTGACTGGGATGTGCAGTACAACACTGACTGGGATGTACAGTACAGCACTGACTGACTGGGATGTACAGTACAACACTGACTGGGATGTATAGTACAACACTTACTGGGATGTACAGTACAACACTGACTGGGATGTACAGTACAACACTGACTGACTGGGATGTACAGTACAACACTGACTGACTGGGATGTACAGTACAACACTGACTGACTGGGATATACAGTACAACACTGACTGACTGGGATGTACAGTACAACACTGACTGACTGGGATGGGCAGTACAACACTGACTGACTGGGATGCGCAGTACAACACTGACTGACTGGGATGCGCAGTACAACACTGACTGACTGGGATGTACAGTACAACACTGACTGACTGGGATGTGCAGTACAACACTGACTGACTGGGATGTACAGTACAACACTGACTGACTGGGATGTACAGTACAACACTGACTGACTGGGATGTACAGTACAACACTGACTGGGATGTACAGTACAACACTGACTGGGATGTACAGTACAACACTGACTGGGATGTACAGTACAGCACTGACTGACTGGGATGTACAGTACAACACTGACTGACTGGGATGTGCAGTACAACACTGACTGACTGGGATGTGCAGTACAACACTGACTGACTGGGATGTACAGTACAACACTGACTGACTGGGATGTACAGTACAACACTGACTGACTGGGATGTACAGTACAACACTGACTGACTGGGATGTACAGTACAACACTGACTGGGATGTACAGTACAACACTGACTGACTGGGATGTGCAGTACAACACTGACTGACTGGGATGTACAGTACAACACTGACTGACTGGGATGTACAGTACAACACTGACTGACTGGGATGTACAGTACAACACTGACTGGGATGTACAGTACAACACTGACTGACTGGGATGTACAGTACAACACTGACTGACTGGGATGTGCAGTACAACACTGACTGACTGGGATGTACAGTACAACACTGACTAGGATGTACAGTACAACACTTACTGGGATGTACAGTACAACACTGACTGGGATGTACAGCACAACTAACCTGGGATGCCGCGGCCCTACAACCACCTGTGGTCTGACACTTGATGTAGGCATCAAAGACCAACAAGCAGAGGACTCCCTAATTGTCCCTGGGGTTTCAGCTTGGCTTGGTCCCGTTATCAGCACAGCCTACTCAACTGCTGAGCCTGCTCACCCACCTGACCCTCAGTTTGGCTCTTTACCTTGTGGCTGGACGGACTCTGGCTTCACTCTCAAAGCCTGACTCCAGCAGCTCCTTCCTGGCACTGGTCTGGTACATTACCTATCAGTGCAATGTCTCTCAGCCCTGAAATCTTTTGAACTCTGCTGTAGCCTCTTTAACTGTAAAACATATATATACACATATAGATACTGTTACTGTTACTTGAGCCCTATGGTATGTGATTTGAGAGTTAATGTTACTAATTGAGACTGGAATAAAAGGACCTACTATTGCCTCAGTCAGATTACCAAGGCACGTGGGATTATACGACAAACTGATGTCACTGCCCCTTGTATATTTATTGCTATTCCACAGTCTAATTGTGGAAAGTCACAAACATGTTCATCTGTTTCTGACACGTGTGCTCACAGCCAAATCCAAACTTTGTCATATGGAATGAAACAACTTCTGCTGAGTTTGCGGACTGCTGTGGTTGAGAACGAGCCTCCACCTGAGGAAGGCCTAGAAAGACCGCACAGAAAAGCCCCCAACACGCCTATCTTGGGTCTTTTCCCAACACTGTCAGGGAAGGGGTAGGAGTGATAGGTTAACAGAAAAAAAAAAAAAAAACAAAAACAAAAAAGCCGGGAAAAGAAATTCTAGAATTTCTCATAACAAAGTAAATTTGATCATTCCTCAACCCCCAAGTTCATGTAGCAACGTGATGGCTTCTGTAATGACTTTCAAGCAACTTTTAATGTAATTTCTGTCCTGAAAAGTAATTAGAAGCACAAAATAAACCAGGAACGATACATCAGGCATAAAAACACCTTGGACTCAACAGACTTGAAGAGACATACTTTAAATCAACTGTATCAAAGTTTTGACAATGCCAAGTCAACCCAACATGTACTTACTATTCACTTACCCAACAAGATGTAGTCACTTAAAGGTGACACAGGTTTCTACAGAAACAGTTTGGTACGGAATGCGGGAACTCTAGTCTGACAAAGATCCAGGGGCACCCACACAGAAGTCATAAGCAGAGGAGATTCAAAGTTAGGATTGCTAAAGGTATTTCTGCACCTGTAAGAAGAACGTTTGCAAGAACCTTTGAGACGGCTTCGGCTAAGATTTACTATGTGTTTATTTTTGGTACCAGGGATCGAACTGGAGCCCCGATGTTTGCTAGGGTAATGAACCAGCACAACATCCCCAGCCCACGATTTTTCCCATCTATAAAATGATCGATTGCATGTGATCATTAAGCGGCAGGGGATGAAAGTAGCATTAAAAAACTCAATGCTGCTTGGAAGGGTCTAAGTACTCAGGGAGAAAACCAACTTCTAATGGGCAAGAGGAAGGCTACAGGAACCGCAAAACAAAGCGAAAGTGTGTCCTGGGAAGTTAACTTCTGAAGCATTCCAAATCGAAATTAACATGCCCCGGGAGGCAGGCGTACCTTTTGAATCCACAATTCTCCTAGGACTCCAAAGCATATATCTTGTTTCTTGGAGTCTTGAAAACGCCAACACCTTTGCATTAAGATCCAGGTAGAAGAACGTTTATCATAGCATTGTTCTGAGACGCCCTACACTGGAATAAAGTGCAAGTCAACAGCAGAATGGATATAAGGCTGTAGCCACACAATGGAATACTAGACAATCATGTGAATTTGCAGATAATATAATAATATTTAAAAGCCAAAACCCCACAATATGGGTCCATTCATAAAAGTTCAAACTCAAAGGAAAACTACACTACATGCATACTCATTCGGTAAAGCAATACAGTGGCTGTCACAAAAATCAGGCTAGAGATGGTAATGGGCGGAAGAACTCTTGAGAACCTGGCAATTCATTTTATTAAGATCCCTCAAACATGTACGTCCTACGCACTGTTCTGCACACGACCTAAAAACGTATATGAAACCCTACAATGCCTGCCTAAAAAAACAAAAGTCGGACAAGGATGCACCTCAGTGGAGTCAATTCCCAACACGACCAGGAAACAGGCCTTAGGAACTGTCGGGATCCTTACGCACTGGTGAACTGGCGTCCACCCTCTCTCACTTCAAGTAAAGTTTTTGGAGGAGAGGGGGCTCCGGGGAGGAACTGCCAGCTCTCCTCAGCCAGGCCAAACCCGCCCCCAGCCACCGAGGCGCGCCCACGTCAGCGGCTCCACCTTCGCCCTGCGACTCGGGGCCGGCTCGGGCGATTCAGGCTGATCGCAGGCTTCCGGGGGAAGGCGGCGCGCGGAGCCCACCCTCGCGCCGAGGCGCGCGGCCCCGCAGCCCCACCGCGCCGAGTCCCCGCCGTGCGCGCCCCCGGCGGGCCTCTGCGTGGGCGTGGCCTCGGCACACGCTCCTGGCCGGGGGAGGACTGGGGGGTGCGCGTACCTCTTCGCGGCTGAGGAACTACCGCCCCAGTCCGTGTGACCGAACAGAGTTCATTTCCGGGACTGCCTAGCTACTCCTCTCGGGCAGCCACCAGGCCAGCCTCTCCTGAAGCCAGAGCGCCGGCGTCGGCGCACGCGCAGTGCGGAGCTCCCAGAAGAGCCGCCCCAGGCGGCTGGAGAGCAACGCCACCGGCCGCCGTCGCAGGGCCCGGCTGGGGCGCGCGCCCACGCGCAGGGGGAGCGGGTGTCGGGAGCGCGCCCCACGCGGCGGGGCGGAGCGAGCGTGCGCAGTGGCGCTCGGGCTTCGGCTCCCGCGAGGCGGCGCTCGCGCAGGAGGGCGTGGGCGGCCGGCGCCGGGGGCGCGCAGGGAGCGCGCGCGCGTCCCCGAGCACGGGAAGGAGGGGCCGGTGACAGTGCGGAGCTCCTGCCAGTGTCCGCGCCTCGGGAGCGGCCGGACGGAAGAGAAGGTTCGCCAGACGCCGGTCGGCTGCCCGACCTTTCGGACTCAAAGCCGAGCTGAACGGCCGCGGCTTCTGGTTGGTCGGGGAGGCGCTGCGGCCACCTCAGGAAGATGTTTAACGTGGAGTCCGTGGAGCGGGTGGAGCTGTGCGAGAGCCTGCTCACTTGGGTACGTGCCGGGGCCAGCGGGCCGGTGGGAAAACTCCGCAACCTTTCCCCCCCACGGACACCGGTGCTCGTCCCGAGGGGCGAGCTCCCAGGGCGACCTGCCGTCACATCCGGGGTTTGGGACGGGCGGAGCTGAGGAGCCGGTGCGGGCCGCGTCTACAGCCGCGGCCGGGTCAGGGTCAGCAGGGAGCGGCCGGGCTCGGGCAAACTGGGCCCAGGGTCCAGGAGGAACTTGTCCGGCCCGAGCTGTTGGCTGCTGTCCGAGAGGAAACCTGCCCGGTGGGGGCTAATGATGGGGTGCAGGCGACACTGTAATTAGGACTGTTTGCCGTGCTGAGACGCTGGCTCTTCGCTCTCGAGCTCCCAGTGATCCAAAGCGTCGGTTCTGCCTGGGCGCCCGGTAGAGGCACTCGGGACCCCTGGTTGTGATGCTGCTCGCCTTTGTTGTAGCGTTCAGCCAGGATAGAGCACAGCCCCTTGGGGGATGAAGCCCTGCCCGTTGGAAAATAGTACATTAGAGGGTGGGTAGACAGAACATGAAGAATCACCCAGAGGCAGAACATTTGGAATGCGAGATGCATTTTTGACTGTTAGAAAGTAAACGATGTGATGCTACTTATAAAAGGGATCGAGGATAAACAATTTTAAGCCGGGGGAGGAGACTTAGGGATTAGTAATGGGACTGAAACACATTTTTTAAAAGCAACGTGAGATTCTAATTTGGAATTGATAAGGGTTAAGGTTATGGAATCTCAAAGTAAATACTTTGGATTTTAATGTCAATAGTCAGTCATGGCTTAAGCGGCCCTTTTCAATAGCTGGGCGGTTAACCCGTGTTTGTTTCTGTTTTGCGTAAACTGGTTGGAAGTGGTAGGTACGGGCATATGCAGAGCCATGGGATAAACCAAGTATCCCACTGAGAACATTCGTGTTACTTATGGCTAAGCCAGATTAACTGTCCTTTTTAGAAGAACACAGATCTATTGACAGAGGTTACTATGGCGAGTGTTAATTTTGTTTGCTTAACCGGGGGAGCTGGTGGTGATTGGCCCTCCTGCGTGCTAAGTGAAGGCTCTAGTACTGTGCTCTTCACCTCCGCATTTATTCATTTTAAAGGTAAAGTGCAAATATCGAAAGAAATTCTGTTGAACAGTGTCATGGGTTAGAGGGTCCCATCTCTGGAAGTCAGCTGTCCCATTTTGTGCAGGGACACTACTGAGGAGTTTGGGAACTGTTGACTTAGGTTGGTTGTCATAAATGTAATTAAGGGAGAGCCTAAAGATGTGCATGTGTTTGAGGTAGGATCTTGCAGGGTAGCCCGTTTTGGCCTTGAACTATATGATCTTGAATTTGCAGCAATCTTCCTGCCTCAGTCTCCTGAGTACTAGGATTATAAGCCTGCGTCACTACACCCAGCTTGGAGTTTTTTATAGTCTGGGTATGTCATGAATCCAGTTTTGTCCTTTGGAACATAGACTATACAATGCAGAGTTCTACGATTTGGTTTGGTGTTAGAGCATTCTTGCAATTTCAGGATGTTTGTCATAGCGCATAGTTAACATGCTCTAAGTTCTAACTTCAAACAGGAAGATAAGTGTCACTGCTGTGCTCCAGGTACAGGATGGTGATAGGTTGTACACTCACCTAAGCCTCAGCCAACTTTAAGGTTACTATTTAAACCAGGAAGAATCGAAAAGATGGAAAGTGTTTGGGTTTGGTTTGGTTTGGTTTGGTGTAAGACAGGGTTTCATTTTGTAGCCCTAGCTATCCTAGAACTTGCACTGTAGACCAGGCTGTCCTCAAACTCACAAAGATCTACCTGCCTCTGCCTCCCAAGTACTGGGATTAAAGGCCTGTGCCACCACCTCCTGGCATGAAAAAGATGGAAAATGTTTTATACGCAGTCAGTATATAATTTACTCCTTATCTCCTTCTCCTACTCCCTGAACCTGAAGCTATATTATCATGTGTGTGATTGTGATGTGTGAATATAGGCACAGTTGCCACCACATGCATATGGAGGTCAGGAGTCAACTTTTGGAGTTGGTCCCCTTCCATGTTTTTCCAAGCAACAAACTCAGGTTGCAAGTCAGAAGACTGCTGTGGTAAGCACCCTCACCCACTGAACCATTTCAGTAGCCTTTGCTTGTTTTTACCAGTAATAATTTTATGTTTTAAATTTTTAGTATTTCTGTGTGTGGGAGTGTGCACACAGATGTATCATATCCCTTTCGTGGAAGGCATTGAATAATTTAGAGGAGTCAGTTCTTATTATTTGGGTTTGATCGGATTTACTCCTCCCCCCAGCTCTGTATTGCACCACCACTTGTCCCTCCCAAGCTCATATACTGTTTTTTTTCTTTTTTAACCTATTGAATCCATTTAGTGTTATATATATATGTATATATGGATATAGGGCCATCTACTGGAGCGTGACAACCTAGGCTCAGCACCCTGAGGAAACAGCTGACCCTTCCTCCTCCAGCAGCTATGCACTGCCAGTAGCTTCTCAGAAACATGACCTCTTCTCATTCATTTAGAATTTTGGCCAACTTGATCTTGTGCAGATCTTGGGCATACAGCCACAGCATAGCCATTGTAGAGTCTTAAGTGTGCCATCCCTGTCATATCCAGAAAGCACTTTTTTTTTTTTTGCAGGAGTTCTCCACAAATTCTGATCTAGAGTCTTTGTGCCCCCTCCCCCCGCAATGATCTCTTGAGTCTTAGGAGAGGGACTGTGACACAGATGTGCCATTTAGGGTCGAACACTCCAGTTTCTATTCTCTGCACTCTTGATTAGTTGTGAGTTTCCACATTAATTGCCCCCTGCTACAGAAGTAAGCTTCTCCGATGCGGGTTAAGAGCTGCACTATTCAACGGGTATAAAGATAATTGTTTAGAAGGCAGATACAATGTCTGTTTGGCAAAATAATAGTAAGTTCTCTCCTAGAGTCTGTGACCTACACAACCACGTGTTCTTGTCCCAGTTAACAGCACAAAGCATGAATTCTGGTTTGCGGAGTGACCCTTGTGTCAAACCAGTAAGCGATTGCTTAGTCCCTTAACACTGATGCCACTGTTGCACCAGTGGGTATATTTTTGCCAGTCTGTTTGTCATTGTAACTTGCAGGGTTCACAGCTGGGTAAGACTATTGATTGTATTTCTCTCCCAGCAGCCTGTATAGCACCATCCAGCACTCTGAGAACTTGCCAGTAGGGAGTAATCTTCAAGGTCAACACCAGTTTGATATCTCCACAACCTGTGACTCAAGAATGTAGTGTCTCTAGCAATAGGGTCTTACTTCCAAGTTCTGGTGGGTAACCAAGGGCAGTAACAGTAACCTGTATTGTTTTATGGACCCATGGGATTCCCTGTGACTAGCAGCTTAAATTGGGGGACCAAATCTGATACTGCCCAAGCCCAGCTTCTTGAACTCTGCATGAATCAGGATGAAAAGATTGCACTCTCCCTGGTCTTAATTAGTTTGTTTGTTTTATGGTGCTGAATTTTAAACCTGGGGCCTTGTGTGTGTTCTATACACCTGAGTTATATAATTCCAGTCAGTTACCCAAGAAACCTGAACGCAAGAAAGAAACTAGAGGGATTGGAGAGAGAGCTCGACAGTTACAAGCATTTGTTGTGCTGGCAGAGGACCCTGATTTGTTTCCTAGAACCCACACAGTGGGTTCACAACCATCCACAGCCCTGGTTCAGGGGATGCGATATCCTCTTCTGACCTCCACAGGCACCAGGCATGCTTGTGGTACACATACATACATTCAGGCAAAACAGTCGCAGACTTATACTTAGTCTTAAAACATATTTAAAGAGAAAGAATCTAGAATACAATCAGATAATGACATCAGACTAATGGGAAAAGAACCGTAGTTGTGGTTCACTTCTGTGACACGCCTCAGTCTTTAGATGTCCTTATCTTCGCATTACTTTTTTGGGAGCCTATGAAATGCATCTAACATTTAGAATCTCTCCCATTATGTTTTCCCACCTTTGTCTAACTCCATCCTACCAACAAATTTGATCCTCTAATGGGAGAATAAAGACATTTCTGGTGTACAAAGGTTTAAAGCCCTTGGGGGAAAAGTCTGAGTACCATGTTGCTGGCTCCTGCGGTGGTTCTCCCACATTATCACTGATCAACATCACCTGGAACCTTTATCAAACCAGTTTATTAGGCCCTGGGGCCAGAGTTTCTAGGTCTGAGACAGGATCTGAAATTTGCATTTCTGTTACAGTCCCGGGTGATGTGTAGTTAGGAACCCCAAGACAGCATTTGAGAAACATTGTGCTAGAGCAGGTTTTAAGCTCACAGCTGTTTGATATTTTGGACTAATTGTTAGGGGCACTGTTGTGTGCATTTTAGGGTATTTAATAAGAGGCATTGCTGATTATGAAATAACAGTACTTACGTCACCATTCCAGACTCTCTTAGGGAGCAAAAAATCCCTCCTGGAGAGAACCACTGCCTAAAGTTGCTGATTCCACATGATCTCATGCTTTACTCTTCCGATGCTTTTGAGGGAGGAGGGTGGAATGTGTTCTCAGAGCTTCTTGAAATTACAAGAAAGGTTGTGGCCCTTCAGATAGAATTTGTGATTTAACACAGTTCAATGCAGTTATCTTTCAGTTTTACTGTATTATTATCCTGAAATGTCGCAACTATAAGTTTATTTCTTAGTTGAGATCTCTGTTAGTTCTAAGAGCAGAGGGGAACATTCTCAAGCTCTCCTAAGTACCTATGTACCTGAAGGGCTAAAACAGAAAACAATTATTTAGAAGCTCCATCTTAAAAAATCAAAGTGAAAATTTAGCTCTGAGTCCTGGGGTGGGTACACATAGTCTGTCAAATTACTCTTTCTTTAGAATTCCTTCCTTTGGACTGAGCATGTAGCCCAGTTTATGGAGTACTTGCACAAAGCTGGGGTTAGCAGTGTGTAACCAGATGTGGCAGTGGTGCACGCCCTTAATCTCAGCAGTCCACTTCTAATTCTCCCAATCAGGAAGCGGAGGCAGGAGGATTGGAGAGTTTAAGGTCATCGTTGTCTTCAATAGTGAGTTCCAGGCCAGCCTCAGATACATGAAACTCTGTCTCAAATAAATAAAAAAATAAAAATTAAAAAAGAAAAAACCTATTTGCTTTATTGAATTGTTTCTTCTGATTGACCAGGGGCGATTTTGTAACCCTGAGTAGGAATGTTAACTCAGTACTAGAACACTTTCCTTGCATGGACAAGACTCTGAGTTCCATTCCCAGCCTGGGGTAGGATGGATAAGAGCTTACATTCATTCCTTAACCTTGGTAGTACTTCAGAGGGTTCCAGATGCTAAAACTAGTGCCTAGGTACATAAGGATTATTTGATGCATTTGTTAAAATCGATTAACAAAGATTAACTTGTTTGCACAGAGCTGTAATCTCAGCTCCTCAGGAGGCTGAGGCAGGAGGATTACAAATTGACAGTTTGTAGAAACTACAGAGTTAGTTCAAGGCTATTGGCAAGATTCTGTTTCAGACATTTAAAAGAGGATAGGAGAGATGGTTCAGCAGTTAGGAGCACTGACTGTTCTCGTAGAGGACCTAGGTTCAATTTCCAGCACCTACATGGTGGTTTACAGTTGTCTATAATTCCAGTTCTAGGAGATATGATGGCCTCTGAGGGCACTGCATACACACAGTAGACTTACAAGTGTGCAAAACACTCCTAGAGAGAGGTGGGGGTGGAGAAGGAAAGAGAGAAAGAGAAAGAAAGAGATAAAAAAAGAGAGAAATCTCAGAATTTGAAAAGATGTAGAGATATAGCTCAGTAGTAGAGCTATACCTAGCATGCAAGGTTCAATCCTCCAGCAACATTTGTGTGCATGTGCGCGCACGCGCGCACACACACACACACACAGTGGGGGAATGACAGAAAAAGAGAGAAGAAATTCTAGCCTTCTAAACACATCATACAGGATTCATTTGGTGGAGCTAAGAAATGTGTTTCCAAAATGAAAACTTCCCAGGTGTGTAGCACGGATTCTAGTTGATTTTAATAATAAAACACAGAGTAAGATATAGAAAAGATCAGAGAAGCAGAGAGGCCAGAACTAGAGAGTTCTTTTACCTCTACCAGTGCTCAGACCGAAGGAGTGATCCTGTCCTCAGACTGCATCTCCAGACTCCATCTTTCTCCAACAAACCTCAGACTGCACTAGCTCTTGTCTCCTCCTGCCCCGCCCCCATTTTATATTCCTCTTTCAGCCCAGCCATATCACTCCTGTCTCCACCTCCTTAGTGCTGGGATTAAAAGCATGGGATTCCCAAGTGCTGGGATCACCTTTGCATGAACTATGTTTTTCTTAAACAGATTGAATTTTTTGTAGCCCAGCGTGGCCTTAAACTAACAGAGATCCCAAGTCCTGGGATTAAATGTATGTGTACCCACTGTCTGCCTCTAGTGGCTTAGCTCTGCACTCTGATCATCAGGCAAGCTTTATTTGTTAAAACATAAAATATTACTACACAGATGACTATCATGTACAGCTAGACTTGGAAACTGCTAATATAAATCCCCCCCCCCCAACATAAGGGCCTGCTTGTGGCCCTGGCCGCCTGGCTAGCTTAGCCCCGAAATAATCACACAGAAACTATTCATTAAAACACTACTTGGCACATTTGCTCAGGCTTTTTGTTAACTCTTATAACTTATATTAACCCATTATTGTTATCTATGTTAGCCACATGGCTCAGTACCTTTTTCAGTGGGGCAGGTCACATACTGCTTCTTCAGTGTCTGGACAGGACTGTGGAGGAATGGGCTTCCTCCTTCCCAGAATACTCCTGTTCTCCTTGCCCTGCCTCTACTTCCTGTCTGGTTGTCCCGCCTGGCTACTGACCAATCAGCGTTTATTTAAAACATAATTGACAGAATACAGAACTGCCCGCCCCCAATCTTTATATGGAAAAAAACTGATATTAAAAGAGATTAGGTAAAATATCCCAGGCTATATGATAAATTAGTAGTAAAATTAAGGATTGGAATTGATTCATGACATTCCAAGCAGTGTTCACTGAACTTAATCAGTAAGCCCCTTATTTTGAGATGTTGTACCAAGCGATTAAGATGTAATATGTGATTGTCACTGTTTCATCTCTTTTTTTTTCCTTGTATAAACCTACAAAAAGAGATAGCTTTTAAATGGACCATTAATTTAGCACCTAGAAAATTAAAATGGGTACTATTTTTTTTTTTAATGTACCAGCGTGGAGGCAGCTGCGGGTGGAATAAAGTTTAAAATCAGACCTGAGATGTTGGTTCATTTGTTCCTGTTACTCATTTTCATCATCATCCTCTCCCACGGATCCTCACTGTATTTCAGGGCTGGCATTGAACTTAGAATCAATCCTCTTGCGTCACCCTCCTCAGTAACTGGAACTAAAAGTGTATGCTGCCATGCTTGGCTTATTTGCTAACTTTTTTAAAATCCAAACTCTGTATGTATTTAAGTTAGGACCTTCTTATCTCCCAAAATTATGTCTGACTAAAAACTGCTTCCTATAAGTAGTGACAAATCCCTCTGCTTCTGCTGCCATAACCATCTTCATCTGAATGACTCCTGCCCTATATAAAATAGGAAGTTATTACTGCACTGTTAATAGTTCTCCCAGCACTTGGGAGTAGAGGCAGGAGAATCAGGAGCTCAAGGTCACCATGACCTGATACGTAATGAATTGAAGGTTAGCCTGGGCTACACGAGCCCCTGACACTATGGATAGTATGGTACAGAGAAGCAGACAGATACACCCATTTTTAGTTGCAGTTTACTGCTTCATGGCTTATATAGCAATATGTATTTTAAAAAATTTAAAAATGAATATTTATTTAACTTGGCAATTTTTTTCCTAACCCAATAAATAAAAAGAAGGGTGCTCACTTGGGTGTTATCTCAGTATTTCTGTTGTTGCTCTCTAGTTTAGCCTCATCAGTGTTAAAGGAATGCCACAGCAGGCTTTCCTGCCTCTTTCCCTTCAGCATTTCCTTCGTATTACATCAGTTTGGTTTGGGTCTCACTTTCTTGCTTCAAATCATTTTCTTACAAACTACCATTACTCTTAAGATAATTACAGATGTGGCTTATCGAGTCTTGCCTAAAGATCCTTCTTTCTTTAGTTCTTCACGTGTTTTATATACCCTTTTTTCCTTTCTTCCCATAATTTCCACCTATCTATACCAGGCTTCTTTTCATTCCTACAACATATCTTCTCAATGGAAATCTGTGTTCATACACCCCACAATATTTCCACCAAATTAAAAGATCTGTATCAGGATGTCCTTCATCTTTTTATCCTCATTGACTTACTTCCTTTTAAACCCGGGTTTGTCAGTGGCTGATAACTGTTGGTTGTATTTCTTTTTTGGTCTCAGGTGGCCTTGATCCCCTGAATTTCTGCCTCTACTTTCTAAGTCCTAGAATTACAGGTGTGTGCCCTTAGGCCCTTCTTGGGTTCATTTCTTAAATTTCTCTTAATCAGTACAAAGTTAGTTGTGATTCAGTATATATTTGAAACTGGAATGAATTGAATATCCAACCTAATGATGATAAATATGAATTCTGTATCCATATAAAAATATTTTTGCCTTTGAGTATCAGAAGTCTCAACCTGACTAGGCTTAAAAGATAAATTCTTTATAATAGGAGATCTCACATTTTTAAGTTCAGTGGTTAAAATTTATCAAAATTTATCTCAAATACTTAGTTCTTTGAATCCTTCCTCTCTGTCTTCTGTTGTCCATTACATAACCCTTAAGACTTATTTCTGGGTGATGAGATGGCTCAGTCAATAAAGGTGTCTGTTACCAAGCCTCATGATCTGCGTTCAGTCTGTGGACCCACCTGGTAGAAGGAGAAAACCAGCTCCCACGAGTTGTGCTCTGCCTGCCACATGTTTACTGTGACACACACCTGCCCTCACACATGCACATTGGTCCATACTGTTTTGGCCCTTATTAGGCTTGAGTCAGTCATCACTGTTAGAGGGGCTGAAGTCACCATCATCTTCTTGATCACATCTGTGAGTAGTGTGATGAGGATTGGCCAGTATCTACTACAGTTTCTCTTTTGCTTATATGGGGAAAATTATGATTATTAAAATTTTTATCTCATTATGAAATAATCATACACACATGTGCATGCACAACACAGACACATACACACACAAACCCTAAGAAATCTTAATATAGTTAACCATTGGCTCTTTTCTTCCTTCAGATCCAGACCTTTAATGTGGATACACCATGTCAGACCGTGGAAGATTTAACGAATGGGGTGGTGATGTCCCAGGTTCTTCAAAAGATGTAAGAATAAATTGCTTGTCTTTTTTTATGGTCTTACATATAAGCCTTTATTGAATTGAAAAGGATTAAAAAAGTTAAAGTGTAAAAAAAAAAAGTTAAAGTGTGAGATTTGGTTTTCTGTCTGTCTGTCTTTCTTTCTTTTGGTTTTCTATCTTTGACAGATTATCTAAGATGATCTATTCATATGAAAGGTTTGTTTTTGGTTTATAGTTTTGGGTATTTCAGCCATTGCTCTTGGGCCTCTGACAAGGCAATACCATGTTGTGAGCATTGGCAGAAGAATCAGCTTCCCTCACAGAAGTCAAGAAGCAAATCGGGCTGGAGCAATGGTTTAGTGCTTAAAAGCACTTGTTTCTGCTGAGGACTCAGCTTTGGTTCCCAGCTCCCACGTGGTGACTCACAGCCATTGGTAACTCCAGGTCCAGGGGATCCAGTGCCCCTTCTGGCCTCCGGGCACCAGGCATGCATATAGTACACATACATAAATTCAAACAAAACGTATGATGATAAAGTACATTTTAAAAGAAGAAACAAGACAGGATGTCGTAGAGGCCCTATGAAGTTCCTTCAAGGGTGAGCCTTCAGTAATCTAGCTTCCTCTTACAGAGGCCTTACTTCATAAAGCATCCACCATCTTAACAGTACAAGTCACAAGCCACCATGCACCTTTGGGGATCATTTCAATTCTGAACTATAACAAAAAGATTATATAAACTTGAGTTGCATGTGAAATGACAACTGTAAGCAACAATGAGAGGTTGATAACCAGGTTTTGCCATTATAGGACAACTTGAGAATGCTGTCTCTGGTAGAATACCACTCTAATCTTAGCACTGAGCTCTTCCCTGACCAACAGTGTGATATAGCAATTGTCGTACATTTTTTGTTCCCTATACTTTCTGTATTATTATACTCTGAACTATGTAGTACCTTATGTGTATTTGATTATGACCTCCTCTGTCCTGGAAACACACTATCTACATTTGTTAAAATCTATGAAGAGCCAGAAGCTTATTTTCTTTCTTGCATTCTAGCAACTAAGATACATAATTTTTTATTGAATCGTATGAACTTTACCATTCTTTACAGTTTCCTTTTGTTTGTTTATTTTGTTTTGCTTTTTGAGACAAGATTTCTCTGTATAGCCCTGGCTATCCTGGAACTCGCTCTGTAGACCAGGCTGGCCCCGAACCCAGAGATCTGTCTGCCTCTGCCTCCCGATTGCTGGAATTAAAGGTGTGAACCATCACTGCCTGGCTCATTCTTATCAGTTTCAAAGAATCAGATATCAGTAACTTTCTCAGATTCAATCTGTTATTGTGGGTGCTTGTGACTGAAAGAATGAAATGTTTATTTGAGGTATGTGCAACTTTTATCTGGTTCTTTTTTGCTGCTCACTTTGAAAGCACAATGATAGAAAAATCACTATCAACTTTTTTGATCTAGGATTTTTTTTTTTTTAAAGACAAGGTTTTGCTATGTAACCCTGGCTGACCTGGAACTTGCTATATTGACTAGGTTGCCTGGAATTCTGCTTCCTGAATGCTAGGAATAAAGATAGGCCCATCATGCCTGGTCCTGGGATTTTTTTTTTATTTAGAATATTATGTGTGAATTGGGTTTGGCATAATTTTTAGATGATTTTATACTTTGAAGCTCTGAGTACCTGTCCGTTTATAACAAAAGATTTATGTATGACTATGTGGGATTTTTCTCTAGTTCTGTTGAAACTCAGTGTAATCTTTAAATACATGCTTGATATGTCTACCTTCCTGTAATTAAAATGATTTGTACATGTGAGAAGTAGCTAAAATGTTTCAGAAAACCTTCTTTGTGTGTTTAGAATGGGTACATATGTTTGAAAAATACAGTTTTTACTTTCCTCCATAATTTAGCATGCATACATCTTTTTTCATGCCATAGACAACACTTTTTTTTTCTTTTCTTTTTTTAATGGAATTCAGAATGGTTCTTTTGAAACCTGGACAGCCCTGCTTCTAGTTATTACAAAAATATAGCAGTAAGAATTAGAAAAGAGCTGGCGATGGTGGCACACACCTTTAATCCCAGCACTCGGGAGGCAGAGACATGTGGATCTCCGTGAGTTCTAAGCCAGCATAGTCTACAAGAGCTAGTTCCAGGACAGGCTCCAGTGACACAGAGAAACCCTGTCTTGAAAAACCAAAAATAATAAAAAAATAAAAAATTAGAATTTGATGGTTTCTTCTGTGAAACTTGTGATTTGTTTACTCGTTTGTTTTGTTTGAAACAGGATATCTTTTCTTTACATAGCCCCAGCAGTCCTGGAATTTACAGGTCAGGCTGGCCTTGAACTCCAGAGATCTGCCAGCCTCTCCTTCCTGGGTGCTGGAATTAAAAACTGTGCCACCATACCTGGCAAAACCTGTGGTTCTTGATGTGCCTACATTCAAATCCTTAGGAACAGTTAATACTTTGCCCTGATCTGAATTTAAATTCCTTTTGCCTTTTATTTATATTTTATTTTCATTGCGCATATTCCTTCCTTGTGTAGTGCAGTGTTACATACATACTGAATGTGTTCCTACCCTCATACCTTTTGTCCTGTTCTCAATACTGCTCCCATTATTCCATAGACAGTTTTACTTGTACTTTCATACACCGTGTACATGATTTTATTATGTGTCAATGTAAAGTTTAGGAACCAAAGAAAAGAAATATATTTATTTGTCTTTCTGGTGTTGACTTAATTCATTTTCTCTAGTTGCATCCATTTGCTATAAAGGATATGACTCCGTTATCTTTATGCTGAAAAACAATTCCACTGTATAAATACACCACACTTTCTTTTTTTTTTTAGATATTGCAAGTTTAATTTTTTTCTTTTACTTTTTAGGTCATAATATAATGACATCCTTTTCTCTTTCAAATCCTACCTCCAAACCTTCCCATAAATGCCTCCTTGTTCTTTTTCAAATAAATAGCCTTTTTCGTTAATGTTGTTACATTCACACACAGAGATACACACATATACACACATATCTATATTCATCTTGCTCGGTCTGTATAATGGTACTTGTGTATATGTTTTCAGGACTGTCCTTTTGTGATTGGGTAACCATTTTATGTATAGCACATTTTTTTTTTTTACCAAGGTTGGTTCTATATAACTTAGCTATTTTGAGTAGTGTTGTAATAAGCATTGATATAAAATTATCTCTGTGATGTATTGATATGAGTTCTTTGGGTAAATCCCTAGGGTACTATGTCTGGTCATATGGGAGATCTATTTTTAGATTTTTGGGAAACCTGTGTGCTGATTTTAATAGTGACTATACTAGTTTACCCACCAGCAATGTGTAAAGGTTACCTTTTGTCCATATCTTTGCCAGCATTTGTTATTTTTCTTTTTATTTAAGGTTTATTTTCTTTATGCCCACCTGTGGGGGGGCGGGGGGTGGATACGGATACCTAGAAGCAGGCATCAGGTCCTTTGAAGCTGGAGAAATAGGTTTAACTCCACATCTGCCTGATAGGGATGCTGGAATGCAAACCCTGATAAAGCAGTAAGTATTCTGAACTGCTGAATCATATCACTAGGTCAGTGTTCTTTTTAAATTTTTTTCAACAAAATTTTATCTTAATTTAAATTACAAAGTCTGCTAGATTTTTTAATAAATTCATTTTTCCTTATGAGAATTAAGATCCTTCTATGACATTAATAAATTAACAACTGTATACTTCTCACGTTTTTAATAATTCATTTTGTGCGTGTGTATGTGTGTGTGCATATGCAGTGTGTCACATATATAGCATAGTGCACATGTAGAGGTCAGAGGGCAGTTTTGGGGAGTCTGTTCTCTCCTATCTTGAACTCTGGTTGTCAGACTTCTATACCAAACACTTTATTCACTGAGCCTGCTCATTGGCCCTCGCACGTTTTTTACTTTTAAAGTGTTAAAAAAAAAAATCAGATAACTGTTTTAAGTAAAATTCAGCATTTATAAAACAAGAAGAAACTACTTCCAACGTAACCATTTGAGTGTGTTAAATGATCATACTTAAAATGCAACTGTTGAACTTGGTGTTTACAGTGGCTTGTTTAAAGACAAACCAGGTTTAAAGACAAGACCCGCCTTCAGCTCTCATACATTAGTAACATGCAGTGCTTTCTTTGGCACCCCACACGCCCACATCTTCCTGATGAACGCCTTTAATGCCACCCTACGATTGCCAAGGTGGAAACTGTTTGTTGTCTGACATTCTAAGAACTGGCTTGGCAAGGAGACGTTCCTTCCATTTCGTTGTAATAACTGTTTTCACACTAAATCCAAACACACAGCACTAGACCACAAACTCCAGAATGCTTAGCTCTGTCTAGCCTACCTAAGGGATTATTTCAAGATCAGAGTAATTTTTCTATTTCTATTAGAATCATGAGTTATTTTACACAGGTTCTAGTAAAGACAGCCTCACAGAAATTTTTAGGCTTCATTTAAAGTAAACAAAATGAAATATGTCTGTGTTTTTTAGAGTAGGTTTTCTGACTTGTGCTCCTTGAAGGGGTCCTCAAGTCTTGCTAAACCATCTGTTGGGAGGCTTGTTTTACTGGCCAATGAGTATTTAGTTAGATAATATAGCAAAAATAATTATATAGATGTCTTAATTGCTATGTTTAATTGACACTGGCTGGCATACTCTGAGTCATTACTTGTGATCTGCATGTCACCAAAATAGTCAGATATTATTCTAATAACTTTATATAGATACATGTAACACAAATTCTAATTGTTCTTAATAATAAAAACCTAGAATTAGATATTAGGGGTGAAGACTGAGAGAACAGAGAAGCAGTGCAGCCAGCCACTAGAGAGACCTTTTGGTCCTCAGACCAAAAGGGCTATCCTGTCCTTAGATTGCACTGAGCTTTTATCTCCTCCCACCTTATATTCCTCTCTCCACCCAGCCATATCAGCCTGTCTCCACCTCCATAGTGCAGGGATTAAAGGCAGGGGATCCCA